TCCAGGTGGCACCACCCCAACAAGCCAATCCCATCACCTCTCAGACACTCCACCTCCAAACACTGGGGTTATGTTCCCACCCTCTTCATACCATGGACATGGCAGGGCGACAAACCTGGGTGCAGCTTCTCACGCCACACAGTCACCCAGGGACAGAGCAGCTGGGTACCAGAGTAGGGCTGGGAAAATGGGCTCCCTGTCTGGTTTGGAAAGGATTGCAGAGACTTGAGAAGGACTAACTTTTTCCACCTGGCTGCCCAGGGAGCTGGGGGGCAAATCTGGTGAAAAGGGAGATTCAGGGAAGCTCTTCTCATCTGGTTTTATGACTGAAGCAACAATCATGGGCCTATTAAAGCAGACAATGAAAATGAATCTTTTAGTAGAATCTAGGACCTAGCGTGATAGCCCAGCAGCTAAAGTCCTCACTTTGCACAGACCAGGATCCCATATGGGCGTTCTAATCCTGGCAGCCCCACTTCCCATCCAGCTCACTGCTTGTGGCCTGGGAAAGCACTCGAGGACAGCCCAGAGCCTTGGGACCCTGCACCTGCAAAGGAGACCTGGAAAAAGCTCCTGGCTCCTGGCTTTGGATTGGCTCAGCTCCAGCCATTGCAGCCACTTGGGGAGTGAATCATCGGATGGAAGATCTTCCTCTCTGTTTCTCCTCCACTCTGTATATCTGACTTTCCGATAAAAATATATAATTATTTAAAAAAAAAAAAAGAATCTCGAGGAGTTCCTTGAAAGATCAAGAGCAGAAGGAAATCAGAAGGCAGGCTGGGATATCAGGAAGAATATTCCAAATCAGACCATAGAGCAGTTTTGGGGAAGACGCCCCGGTTGCCACCTCTGGGCGCAGATACTGCTGTCGCCAGGGTTACCATGTGTGTATCGCAAGGGGGTGGGACGGAGCGGAGGCAAGGTGCTGGGAATGAGGTGGAGCTCCCCCCCGCCGCTCCCCTCATGCTCTTCACGTCCCCAGCTTTACAAGCATCTGACCCACCGGGTCTTCATCTTGCTGTGACGCCCCCACTGCAGGGGAGGCTGGAAGAAACGCCCAGTGTTTTCGTCTCCTCAGAAGCAGGGGTGCTGACAGTGGAAGGGAACTCAGGGCCAGCGGGGGGCAGGACAGGTGCCCGGGAGGGGCTGCTTCCTGAGCCCCGTGGGGAGAGACAGCCACATCGTCTTCATAAGGCACTAAGGATGGTACCACCTGACGGAGCCAGCACAGGGGAAGGGGACCAACATCAGAAGGGCTCATATGTAGAACGCAATGTGCCTCAGTTTACCTCCAAGGAGAGATTCCTGGGTGATAACAATGGGAGATACACATTCTTTTTGGATCAATATGAAGAAAAATTTCCTTTTGGGGTCCTAAAATCAAATGAACCATGTTTCTATTATGGAGACAAAACAAATGCAGAGAGATAATAATTCAGAGACCCGCGAGCTAAAGACAATGACTGGTAACATTTCATTGCGTTTTCCTCTAGGATTTTCCCGGTTTTCCAGACCATGTGATTTTACTCTATTCCTACTGTCATATTCCATCTTTTCCCACTTCATATCACATCATAACATTTTCCCACTTTCTTGCCAACTCATTTTAGTATTTTCAATGACTGTGTAGTATTCTGCTAGGATACAGTATAACATACCTACATTTCTCTGTTGTTGGAAATTCAATTTTCTTCAGATTTTATTTTTCAAATAATAATGTGAGGGACATTTTTGTGTACAAAGTTTTTTTTCCCCCTCTATTTAATATTATTTCCTCAAGACAGGCTACCCAAGTGGAACTATGAGATCTAAACATCTAAGCATGTGAAGGTACTTTAGCGTTCACAGGAAAGGGCCAGTGTTGTGATGTAGTATCCTACAAGTTTCCCAGAAGGGTGCTGGTTCGAGTCTCGGCTGCTCTGCGTCATACCCTGCTGCCTGCTAAGGGCATGGGAAAGGCAGCAGAAGATGGCCCAAGTGTTTGGATCCCTGCCACCCCGTGGGAGACCTGGAAGAAACTCCTGGTTCCTGGCTTTGGCCTGGCCCAGCCCTCGCCATTATGACCATGAGGGGAGTGAGCCAGGGGATGCAAGATATCCTTCTGTCTTTCCTTTTCTCTCTGTAACTGTGACTTTCAAATAAAATTAAAAAAATTTTTAATTCACAGAAAGTTAGAATTAAAATATAAGTTTATTTTAATGAGAAATTCTTATAGTTTTTCAGACTATATATTATATATATATGTATGTATGTATATATAAACATTTATTTATTTTTACCTGAAAGGCAAATTTACAGAGAGAAGTAGAGACAGAAAGAGACAGATCATCCATCTGCTGGTTCACTCCCCAAATGGCCGCAACAGCTGGAGATGAGCTGATCTAAAACCAGGAGACAGGAATTTCTTCTGTGTTTCCCACATGGGTGTAGGGGCCCAAGGACTGGGCTGTCCTCTGCTGCCTCCCTAGGCCATAGCGGAGAGATGGATCAGAAGTAGAACAGCTGGAACACAAGCTAGTGGGATGCTGTGCCACAGACAGAGGATTGGCTTGCTACACCACCACACTGGCCCCACAGAAAGTTTTTTAAGACCCCTTTATATGCATGTATTTCAATTGTTTTTGCACCAAAATAAACTTAACCTCCATTTTATTATTTATTTTACATTTTTAAGTTTTATTTATTTGAATGACAGAGTTGCACAGAGAGTAAGGGTGAGAGAGAGAATCTTGTATCTGCTGGTTCACTCACCAAATGGTCTCTGATGGCCAGGGCTGGGCCAGAATTGGGCCAGGATCCAGGAGGTTCTTCCAGGTCTCCCACATGGGTACAGGGATCCCAGGTCTCCCACATGGGTACAGGGACTTGAAGAGACGCCCATATGGGATGCTGGTATTACAGGTGGCAGCTCCACCACCATGCTGGTGCCACAAACCAGTCTCTTTTGGACACAAGATGACAAATTTTCAGAGCCTGGATGTTGGCAGGAACCCAAGCAACAAAGAACTATAGTTAAGATTTCTCTTTTACCCTGGGATACCAGACGAGTTGTGTTTCCTCTTGAGTAGTTGGAAGACAAGAAAGATTGGCAAGGGAAGTGGTGGGAAGAGAGCTAGTCATCTGGGTGAAGGCCAGGCCCTCATGGGTGGAGAGCCGGGTACAAAACCTCAGGGGCGGATGCGGAAAGGACTTTAAAGAACATCTGGAGCTCAGTTTATAAACTGTTTGTCATTCTCCATGTGCCCCTGCCCCGGGAGCCCAGAGCACAACATCTTTGTATTCAGTAACGTTCTGTGTGGGAAGAGGTGTGGGCAGTTCTCACGAAGGGCTGAGTTTGAGTTTCATCTTTAAGTTCTTTTTTTTTTTTTTGAAGATTTATTTTTTATTTATTGAAAGGCAGAGCTACAGAGGGAGCGACAGAGAGAAGAGGAGGATCTTCATCTGCTGGCTCACAGCAGCAGGAGCTGGGCCAGTCTGAAGCAGGGACAGGAGCTTCTTGTGGGTCTCCCTCCTGGGTGCAGGGGCCCATGGATTTGGGACATCTTTCAGTGCTTTCCCAGAAGCGTGAGCAGGGAGCTGGAATGAAAATGGAGCAGCCTGAGTCTTGAACTGGTGCTATATAGGATGCTGTCATTGTAGGTGGAGGCTTAACATGCTACGACACAACGGCAGCTTGCCCTCTTTAAATTCTTATTTAATTTTATTTGAAAGAGAGATTTATAAAAGACCAAAAGTCAACTCTCCAAATGCCCTCAACCGCCAGCGCTGGGGGAAAGTCAAAACCAGAAGCCCAGAACTCCAGGGAAGTCTCGCACCTGGGTAGCTTGAGGCATCGCCCATGCTGCTCTGAGTGCACATTCCCAGGAAGCTGAGGCCAGACTCAACCCCTGGCCCTCCCGTATGGGAAGTGGGCAGCCCACTGTGTCTTGACCACTGTGCCGAAAGCTGGGTCCTGAATTCCATCTCTAGATTGCTGACTGGTGGTGCAGCAGGAGCCTGGCCCAGCAGGAACTCAGCAGGAGAAATACGGGACAGGAAAAATTCTTAGAAGGGGCTTGGACTGCACCTGAAGGGATCAAGAAGATCAGCATGTAAATTGCGAAGGTGACACACATTCATGTCAGGAAGGAGGTGCGTGAGTGCAGGGGTGGGTGGGAGAGCTCTCGTAATTCCATCTTGCAGCCATGTGAAGGTGTGGCCGAAGGAGTGCCCGGGAGAGGAGCGGTGGGGTGGATCCGAGGGTCATAGGTAACCTGAGAGTCAAGTTTGGCTGGTCCCTGGATGACAAAGCCAGAGTGATGCCTTTTAATCTGTATCTTAGGGTTGTGGTAGCAGGTCCCTTGCATGACCTGAGTCAAGAATGGAGAACAGGATTTTCAATAACATTGGAGAGGTAGTCCCCCATGTAGGAGGACAAGTGCATTAGAAAAGCTCACGGGAAGATGGATGAGAGGTCCTGAACCCTAAGTTTCCAATTTCACCAGCCTTCCGAAGGAAGAAATCTCTTACTTCGAAAAGTATAGGCTTTTTCTTTTTTTTTTTTTTTTGCCAATTCCTGTCGCGTTTGAAGACCAGCTCCTAGTCTCCGCGTTGTTTCTCACCGCTAGTCACATACCTTTTCTGGGCCTTCTTCTTCCTCGGAAGGATGGGGAGTTTGTAGCAGATGACCTTTAATTCCCCTTCCAGCCTTTTCAGATACCCGCTGAACTTGGACTTGCTCCCTGGCGCTGACAGAGTCCTCTGCAACTCCAGCTGCTTGCGCCAGAGGGCGCTGTCGGCGCGGAGGAAGAGGAGGAGGAGGGGCGTTGCTCTGCCAGGCAGCGTGCGGTGGGCGGAGTGGCGCCATCAGGGCAGGCTCCAGCGGGCGCGGTGATTGGCCGCCGCCGGGCGGAAGGGGGCGGGCCAGGTGGCGGGGGTGGGGGCGGAGGGCCGAGCTGCGCGGTGACGTCTCCCGGGCTGGGGGCGGGGCCTCGGAGCGTGTGACGCCGCGGTCGCCGCGGAGCTCGGGGATTAATGGGAAAAGTTTTGGCAGGAGCCGGAGGATTCTGCGGAGCCTGCGGGACGGCTGCGCTGGCGCGGGAGGCGCCCGGGACGGGTCAGTCCGGCTCGGGGGAGTGGGTGGGAGGGAACGGGCCGGCCAGCCGAGGATCGGGCGAAGGGGACGGCAGGACCGGGGGCGCCAGGCCCTGGAGCGGGGAACCGAGTCCCGGGGCGCTAGTGGGGTCCGCGCGCTGCACCACTTTGGGGGTCCCCGGTGCTCTGGCTCTCGTCCGTGGCCCTGCTGGCTGGCGGGTGGGCGCGCCCCGCTGCTCTTGCACCCCTTCTCGCCCTCCCCCATAGCCGTGTGACCCCGAATCCCGGCCTCCTTCCACCAGACTCCTCTGCCCCTCTCCTGGGGGGCCTCGTGGCCCCGTCTCCGGCGTGGGGTCCTTTCCTGTCCTCTTTCCTTTGGCCGTGTCCTCTGCTTTCATCCCTGACTGGGGTCTGCGGGTCCAGTGTGCTGTTGTCTGCTGGGGGTCCCCGAGGGCTTAGCCGCTGCCTCCCTGGTTATCCTGGTCTCCTGCCTTCATCCCCTCCACCTCGCCCCGTCCTGGCCCCCTTGACTGCCTTTCCCACCCGTGTCCCCTCAGCTGTCCTTGCTGCCTGACACAGTGTTTCCGGAACCTCCGTCCCCTTTCTCAGGGGTGTTGCCTGTCCCTGGTTCCCTCCCGGAGCCCTGCCTTGGCCTCCTTGTCTTGATGTCCCTGCAGTCCGTCGTCCCCGCTGTGTCCTGGTCATCTACCTCCCTTTTTCCTTCTTGGTTCCTTGTCCCGGCTTCCCGGAGAATCTCAGGCCGAGTGGGTCCCCTTGGCATTCACCTGCCCTGCCCTGCCTGGCTGTGAATGAAGGGGCTGCCTGTCTGGGGTAAATTCCAGTTGTGTGTGTGTGTGTGTGTGTGTGTGTGTGTGTGTGTGTGTGTGTGTGTTGTCACTGGGGTGTTACAGCAGGGATGCTGTCCAATTTGCAGGTCATTTTTTTTTTTTTCATCGCTGCTTTAAGGCCTCCCCTTTATGGGTCTGTTGACTTCCAGGAACCCTTGGGGAGAGACCGAGCACAGTTGGGTGTGCGCCAGGGGTAGCCGGAGGCCTCATCCAACTCCCTTCCCCTTCCAGGAAAACAGGATTCTGGGTCTTTCTGCTTCTGGGTTGTTGTGGAACGCCTGCAAAAACCTCTTGAGACCCCAGCACGACTCCTGTCCTCCCAAAAGCTGGAGTGCCAGGGGATTCCTGTGGTCGTCAAGCTTTTTCCTCTGTCGATTCCAGGAGACCTTTTCCTGTTTGAGTTTTGTACTAAGGTTGCTGGCAGGCTTCTGGCCCTTTCGTTATCGGTGGCTTGGGCCAGCCGCTGGGTGGCTCTCACCTTGTCTTTGATGTCTAGAAATAATGCCTCTGGTGCAGGTCCCCGGACAGGGTCTCTGGCAATCTCTTCTCTCTCCTTGAGCTGTCTGGGAGCTTCATTTGCTGTAGACCCGAGAAGGGAGACACACTCGGGCGTTGATTCTTTTGTCCAGGCGTAGTGTGAGATATCAGCTTGATACGTGCCTGGGCAGGTTGTGTGGGGGTTGTGAGTCAGACCTTGTCGGGGAACTTGAGTTCTCTGCTTCTTGCCACACAGACCATCTTCCCTGGGACCAGCAAGCCCATCCCCTTCATGGGATTCTTTTTCCCAGGGAGAAAAATCCTTCTTGGATGCTTTCCTTAACGGAGCATCTGTCCCCTGGAGATCTCGTCAGGAGCTAACGGAACCTCTGTTCCTGGCCCCATCAGATCTTGGAGGATTCTGGAAGGGATGACCCACTCTCATGAGTGGATGTGAAAGCCCTTGGTGCCACCTGGCTCTGGCTCTCCTCTTTTGGAGCCAGAATTGGAGCCAGGATGAGCAGCCCTCAGGAGCTGTGCTGGAGATCCAGCGGGACCAGCTTGACCAGAGAGGAGTTTTATAACCCTGATGTGTGCTGACCCTCTCCAGTGAAAACATTAGAGTCAGGCCCTCTCCTGACTCTGACCCCTCTTCTGCAGCCCTTCATGAGGAGTATGGGAGTGGGGAGAGAGGAGTTGGGACAGAGTAGACTGGAAGGCATCCCTTGTTCTTACAAAAAACATTCCTCGAGGGTTTTCATGACCCCCCCCTTTTTTTTTCAATTTTGAGGTAGAGTTTGGTAGCCATTTAATTCAGTCTCTGGTTTCCAAGAAGAGCTGTGTCTGACAGTTTGCTGCTCCTTGCTCTTTGCTTACCTGGTTAGTAACGTCTGCCGGGGCATCGTGAGAGGGCTTGAGAAGGGGGCAAGCTCCTGGACTACCTGGGGCATCAGCATCCCTGCCGAGTGGCTTCTCCCAGTTCGTCCCCTCTGCCACCTGCTGATCTGCTGAGCAGGCAGGCGAGCTGACCTCTGATACAGGTTGCCGTTGATTGCTGTCTGCAGACCTGGGTCACCTAGCCTCTGTGTCTCTAACCCGTGAGCAGACAGACCCCGACAGCACTCTGCAGGCAGCACATGATAAACTGACTGCACCTTAGGTTGCCTGCTTTTCTCCTCACCTCTCCACCGCTGCTTGCTTCCATACGCCCCATCCCATTCAGCCCATGAGCTCCACACCCATGTGTTCCCTTAGCCCCCTGCCTGGAGCGCCCACTGGCTGAGAGGGCACCCAGCGTTGCCTGGTCTGGGAGGCACCTGCTGTGGACACAGCACAGCTGTGCTGCCTGTTGAGTAAGCTGTCCTCGGGGCTGGGCACCCTGGCGTGTCCTAGGACAGCATGGCTCCTCTTGGGAGGAATTAGAATTGTTGCTTCCGAAGGTTTTTGCTGCACGGTGTCACTATGTTTTCTGCCCCCTTGGGTACTCCTTGCAGGCTGGGTAGCTAGGCTGTGTGCCCTGCTCCTCCTTTGGTAGGGTCTGGAAATGCCAGGAGCTGCTCCACAGCCCAATCCTCTGCTTCAATCCTACCCGACTCCTTCTGGACTTTGTCTCATCGGGCTGTTGCTTGTATTATGTCAGAAGCCTGGCGCACAGTGCCCTGTCTGTGCCATGTTGTCCCAGATTGCCCAACGACTGCTTCTTGGAGGTGATTTGACGTCCCTGAGCAGTTTTTCTTTTCTCTCGGCCTCTGGAGCCAGGGGGAGGTGCGACTTGTAGCAGCAAGATGCCAGAATGCCAGATGAGGGCAGGAAGAGCGTGGGGCCCTTGCCCCAGGTTTCAGACACGTGGAGCTTCTTTCCTTGGCAGATGGTTTCTGGCCTTCAGAGCTCAGCAGGCTGGGGACAAGGCGTGACTCCACGCCTTGTCTTCACGGGGCTTTGCTCAAGGAATCAGGCATGACTCAGGGCGTCTTGTATTCATGAGCTGCCACCCATGGTGGAGCGTTGGGCAGCGGCTCCCTCTGCTCCACCCTGGTAAAGCCAGCGAAGCCAGTGCCTACTTGCCTGGAAGTGAGCAGGCAACTTCCAGGGCTGGGGAGGTTTGCTGACTCAGGCTCAGAAGAACAGCATTTTAAGATGCAGATGTGAGAGGGACAGCTGAGGAGTCAGATGGCCTAGGGAGCACTCTTGGAGCCCTGGTGTGTGATGATAACTCCCCAAAGCTGCTCAAGGGACCCTGATGCTGTTCAACTAATGAGGCTGTTTTTTTTTCCCCCCCTCTCTCCTGCAGTGTGGCTTGGCATTTTGGGTATGTGTATAGTATTCACACAGCGGCTTCTGCTCACCAACAGATGAAGACAGATGTGCCAAAGAGGTAATGCTGTTTCCTTTCCTCCACAGAGGCCTCTGACCGCTCAGGCGCCGGGGCCACATTGGGGATCTTAATACTGACTCAAGCTGCATCTATGACCCCAGGTGCCTGTCACGGCAAATGACACATGTCACACATTATTATTGAACATCTGTAGATCCTACAACTTTTTTTTTTTATTTCCCTTAGGAGCATGATTTTTTACTTTTGCATCCACAAAAACATAAACTATAAGGGCAGGGACTTATTTTGTTTCCTATTGTGCCCAGCCCAAGGAAATATTGAATAAATGTTTGTTGAATGAATAAGCGAACGTTCTTTCCTGTGCTTATCAGTGCCTAGGATGCCAGACCACAAAGATAATCTCCATCATTCTCTTTCCTTGGGAGTACAGATAGTGTGGATGCCAGCAAGGTGCCAGGCACTTGGAAAATTATGATAGCACATAAATAAATAAAAAAGTCTCAGGGGTGCCAGCGTTGTGTTACAGAGTGTTAAGCCACCATTTGCTGTGCCAGCATGTCATGTGATCTCTTTGTGTTCAAGTCCTGGCCACTCTACTTCTAAGCAGCTCCCTGTTCCTGGGAAAGCAGTGGAAGGCAGATGGAATTTTGGGCTCCTGGCTTTGGCCTGGCCCAGCCTTGGCTGTGGTGGCCGTTTGGGGAGTGAATCAGCAGATAAAAGGTCTACCTCTGTAACTCTTTCAAACAAGTAAATAATAATGTTTTAGGAATTTTTTTTTTAACTGAAAGGCACATTTTACAGAGAGAAGGAGAGACAGAGACAAAGATCTTCCATCTACTGGTTCACTCCCTAAATGGCTGTTAACAGCTAGAGCTGAGCTGATCAGAAGCTAGGAGCCAGGAGTCTCTTCTGGGTCTCGCACACGGGTTCAGGGTCATGAGGACTTGAACCGTTACCATTTGTTGCTTTCCCAGGCCACCAGCAGGGAGTTGGATGGAAAGTAGAGCAACCAGGTCACAAATGGGCACCCATATGTGATGCTGGTGCCACACTGGCCCCCTAATTTTTTGTTTTTGTTTAAGAAACCAATCCCTGCGCTCCTGGGTCCACGGTGTGTTGGCCTAGATGAGAGCCAAGCGTAACATGCAGTGTTCCCTCCATCTGTGCTGGGGTGGTAGGTTCCCACAGACTGTGAACGATGCCAAGGCTCCCATTGCTGCTCCAGTGTTCTCAGGATGCTTGGCAAGGTTTATCATACCTTCAGAGGGAGCACTCCGGGATCAGCAGTTCTGTGCTTCTAGTGCTGTCCATTTGGGATGCTGGTTTATGGCAGGTCCCTGCTTGGGGCCCAGGGAAACACGTGGGCCTCCTGTCTGAGGTTCAGTGATTCTAGGAGCTTCTGAGGGCTCCACTTCCCTTTCTCTGCCTTGAAAGGCTCTGCAGGTTTTCCTGTTGCCAAACATGGGAGGGCAAGCCCCTGAGTCTTCTGGTCTTCAGGGGTCAGGCTGTTTGTGGATCTTGCGGGAAGGTCAGTGGCAGACCCTCCATTGGCTTTAAACCTCCACCAAGGGAGGAAGGAAGGGGCGGCTTGGGAGGCTCCCCAAAGTTCCCCGTGAGGGATGAGATGGAAGCTCCCCTCTGAGCAGGGGAGAGCCACTGAGTTGATTTGCTTTGTCGTTTGCTTCCGCTGCAGCGCGGCTACAGCTGTGCTTCTCCAGGGCCAGTTGGTTAGTTCATCCCAGAGCTTTGAGCTCGTTTGCTTTTTCAGTTTCCTCTGGCAGAGGCTTTATCGTGTTTTTCGGTATCAATCTCAACGAGCTGTGATTGGGGCAGGCATTTGTCACCGGAGTGAGTAGTACCACTGCCTCCCTCATCGGAGCGCCTGGGTGTGGCCCTGGGCTGGCTCCTGGCTCCCCACAGGGGGCAGGAGTGACTCACATGGTTGGGTCGTCACCATCCACACGAGAAACCTGGATTGAAGCTCCTGGCCCAGTCTTGGCCTTAGTGTGTGTCTGGGGGTAAACCAGTGGATTGAGTTTTATCTGTCTCTCTCCCTTTGTCTGTTCTTTAAAGAAATTAAAAAAAAAAAATGTTGTTGCCAACTTAGTCTTAACTGGAGGTGCTCCTGTGGGTCAGAGGCAGTTTTAGATGTTATAGACACAGTCCTTGGCTGCTTTATCCCTCCAGGGATGGGGGACCTAGTTGGGCGGGGTGGGGCGGTGGGAGAAGACGTATACACAGAGAGAATAATTCTTAAATGTTAGAGGGCAATAGGTTCAGTAAGCCTGGTGCTGTGCAGGCTGTGCGTTTAGAATAGGTCATCACTGAGGGCTGGCTCTATCCCTGAAAAAAAGAAAAAAATGGAAAGGAAAGAGGGTTTATTTTGAAATCAACTTAAGAATAGTATATGGGGAGAGGGCATGGGGAGGGGTTGGGGGAATCCCAGAGCCTATGAAATTGTGTCATAAAATGAAATTTAAAAAAATAGTGTAAAAATTCTATGCTTGAATATTGTTAAAGTTTGAATGATTTTCAAATTTGCTGGTCCCAAGAGTCCTTTACCTTATTAAGTGTCACTGAGAATCCTAAGTGGTTGTGTTTGCCAGTGTAGGAATGAAATCAGTTGGGCCCAACACAATGGTTCAGTGGTAAATCCTCACCTTGCAAGTGCCAGGGTCCCACATGGGCGCTGGTTCATGTCCTGGCAGCCCCACTTCCCATCCAGCTCCCTGCTTGTGGCCTGGGACGGCAGCAGAGGATGGCTCCAAGCCTTGGGACCCTGCACCCACATGGGAGACCTGGAAGAAGCTCCTGGCTCCTGGCTTTAGATTAGTTCAGCTTCAGCCATTACAACTATTTGGGAGTATGAACCAGAGATGGAAGATCTTTCTTTCTGTCACTCTGTAAATCTAATCTGCTTTTCAAGTAAGATAAATAAATCTTTAACAACAAAAAAATGAAAACAGTTTATTAATATGTTTAATAAGCCTGTGTGCTGCTCCTTGAGATAACTGTGTCCCTGGGAATGGCCTGTTAAGGTTAGGTTGGCAGCACATATGCTAAAAATAAGCCCATTACATGTTACTGTAAATGATGATAGTAAAAATAACTTTAAAAACAAAAAGTTATTGAAGGAGAGACGTGTTTTTACATTTCTACCTGTTTATATCTGGTTTAATAAAAAAAAAAAAGCTAAAATCTTCTAGTTCTTTCTGTATTCAGTCTTTTTTGCTTTATTGTTTTGTGTGAAAGATGTGAAAAAAATTGTTGCCCCACAGAGGTATGTGTTTGAGAAAGAAAGAAGTATTGGGCTTGAGTCATAGCATAGTGGGCAAAGCCACTGCCTGTGGCACTGGCATCCTGTATGGGCACTGGTTTAGGTCTCTGCTGCACCATTTCCTATCCGGCTCCCTGCTGATGCACCTGAGAAAGAAGCAGAGGATGGCCTGAAGTGCCTGTGTCTCTGCTGGCAGCATAAGAGACCTGAGGAAGCTCCCGGTTCCTGGCTTCGGTCTGGCCCGGCCCTATTCATTGAGAGTAAGCCAGCAGATAGGAGACCTCACTCTATCTCACTCTCTGTAACTCTGTCCTTCAAACAGATAAAATGATAAATCTTTAAAAAGGGGGGGAGGGGAGAAGTAGTTTAATAACCATTGCAGACTATTATGGCTATTTTAAATTTTATTTTTAAGATTGATTTATGTGTGGGGGGCAGGGTGGGGGAATGAGAGAGAGAGGGATCCTCCATCTTCTGATCACTCCCAAAATAGCTGCCATCGCTGGGGCTGGACCAGGCCAAGGACAGGAGTCAGGAGCTCCACTGAGGTCTCTGGAGGTCCAAGCGTGTTGGCAGTCTTGTGCTGCTTTCCAAGGCGCATTAGCAGGGAGCTGGATCAGAAGTGGAGCAACCAGGACTCGAATCTGTACTCATTGGGATGCCAGCATTAACTGACTGTGCCATAACACCAACTCCTACAACATTGTGAAGTGAAATTGCCACCAAATGCCATTTTCCATGGCTCTGTGGATTGACTGTGTGAGGCCGGTTGGTCCTTGCTTGGGTTAGATGGTAGCTGGGGTAGGTGAGTTGGACGTCTCTGTGGACTCATTTGTGTGGCTGGCACCTGACTGAAGTGATTCCTCCCGTGGCCTGTGCATGTCTCAAGCTTCTCCCAGGAGGACAGCTGGGTTCCAAAAAGTGTCCTGACAGTGAATGGACTAGAGAGACACGGCAAGGTTGCTCCCGAGCTAGGCTGGGGAGTGACATCCTGTTACTTCTATTCCCTTTGTCTCGGGGCCAGTTCAGATCAAGAGGAGGACCATGCAAAGGAGTGAATACAAATAGACTGTGCAGTGTTCAGCTGAGGGAGCAGGGGTCAGGTGTGTGTTCAGCAGCTCCAGTGCTCCAGGAGGTGCAGAGCAGCCCACTGCAGCCTGCCTGGCGTGTCTCCCGCCTTGGAGTTGCTGCAGCAACCCTCCAAAAACAGTTGCCTAGTTCTCCACCATGCCCAGGGTCACTGTTATCTCAAGGAGCAGGACACAGAAGGGAAGGCTCCCGGCTGTTACAGGAGAGCCACCGTGTGTCTCAGCTCCTTTCCGGAGCACTTCATTCTCCGAGGTATCGAAAAACAGATCGGGATGCTTGTGTCCCCATTGCTTATTGGAGATCTGCCATAACCCTTGGAACCTTATTGGCACTTGCCCATCCAAGGGGTGTGATGTCAGAATTGCTTGCCTATCACTGCACCAGAAGGGCAAGCCACCTTGCTGTCCCGACTGGCAGTGTTCACTGAGCAGACTGTCTCCTGGACCCGCAGAACCTGGAGCTCTGCATGTCATTTCCTCTTCCAAACAAGCCAGTGAAGTGTGTTTTTCTCCAGTCCCCTTAGTTTTCTAAAATGTTTCCCTGATCCCAGCTGCTGCTTGGGTTTCTCTGCCTCCAGGTACGTTTCCTCTAGTGCTGACTCCTGATCCAGCAGTACAGGTGTCCTTGGTGAGATGGGTGTGTGCGTGTGTGCGTGTGTGTGTGTGTGTGTTTC